GTGAAACCCCTTCTCTACTAAAAATATAAAAAACTGTATTTTTTGGTGGTGGCATACGCCTGTAGTATCCCCTTGCACTTGTATCTCTCTTTCTCTCCTGGGCTTAAGTGATCCTCCTGAATATCTGGAACTACAGGTGTGACATTACACCGGGCTAATTTTTATTATTTTTATGTGTGTATGTTGGAGATAGGGTTTTGCCATGTTGCCCGGGCTGGTCCTGAACTCCTGGCCTCAAGTAATCCTCCTGCATTGGCTTCTCAAAGTGCTGGAATTATAGGCATGAGCCGTCACGACCTCCTTCACCATTTCCACTTCTTAATCCCCTCACTATCCTGTATTTTGTTCTCTTTAGCATTTAATACCTTCTAATATAGTACATAACATTTATCTATTTACATTGTTTTTCTTTGCCCCCAGTATTAGAATGTAATAAGCACTTTGAAGGATGGGTTAGGGGAGAGGGATAGGTCTCTTATTTTTTCTTGTATCCTTAGCACCTAACAAATGCTGATGAGTGGATAAATGACTGATTTAAATGAACACAAAAGAAGTGAAGTATTAGTTAGATCCAGCCTTTTGCCCCAGTTCTGCCGTGTGTTGACCTGTAGAGACATAAGCTTTGACCTACATCCTCTGTGGGTCTATAAAATGATGTCAATGAATAGATGGTTCCTACCAAGTTTTATTATACTCTTTTAGGAGAGGGTGTCTCCATCGTCTCTCTGAGGGTTGTATTTCGAAATTATTCTGTAGTTTAAGGAAAAATTCTTCCCTTTGGAAAATACTGTATCCTTTCATATAACTGAAAAAAATTGAAGGAGTAATTTTATATCTAATTGTTGGATTTATCTTCTGGCTATAATTATTATAAACTTAATATTTTCCTGTTAGAAAAAAATTTATACAACTCGACAAATATTTGCTATGCATTTATTTTCTTGGTGTATGACTCTGCTAGGAGACATGGGGCATTTAAATATATTTGTATTTTGTCCACATCTTCAAGAAACTAACATAAGTTAACAATTAAAGGCTGGGTGCAACGGCTTGCATGTGTAATTCCAGCACTTTGAAAGGCCGAGGGCCGGGCGCGGTGGCTCAAGCCTGTAATTCCAGCACTTTGGGAGGCCGAGACGGGCGGATCACGAGGTCAAGAGATCGAGACCATCCTGGCTAACACAGTGAAACCCCGTCTCTACTAAAAAATACAAAAACCTAGCCGGGTGAGGTGGCGGGCGCCTGTAGTCCCAGCTACTCGGGAGGCTGAGGCAGGAGAATGGCGTAAACCCGGGAGGCGGAGCTTGCAGTGAGCTGAGATCCGGCCACTGCACTCCTGCCTGGGCGACAGAGCAAGACTCCGTCTCAAAAAAAAAAAAAAAAGAAAGGCCGAGGCAGGTGAATTGCTTGAGTCCAGGAGTTTGAGATGAGCCTGGGCAACGTGGTGAAATTCCATCTCTACCAAAAAATAGAATAATTAGCTGGGTGTGGTGGCTTGCACCTGTTATCCCAGCACTTTGGGAGTTCGAGGCAAGTGCATTACTTGAGTCCAAGAGTTCGAGACCAGCCTGAGCAACTTGGTGAAACCCCATCTCTACCAAAAAAAAAATTTAAAAATTAGCTGGATATGGTGGCATGCACCTGTTATCCCAGCTATTTATGGGATTGAGGTGGGAGGATCACTTGATCCCGGGAGGGGGAGATTACAGTGATTCGTGACCATGCCACTGCACTCCAGCCTGGGTGACAGAGCTTGACCCTGTCTCAACAAACAAGAAACTGAGGCAATAATAAGTGAAATAAATAATGTGGCATAAGATTATGAATGCTGTGGAAATGAGATTTAAATACACAGAATGTAAGATAAAATCACCATGCTTTAGGTCATCTGGCAGTATGGATAAAGCAAGTAGGAACTCATTAACCAGGGCATTTTCTTGGAAGGAGGTGGGACTTGTTGAAAATCTCTTTGGAAGGATGAACAGCAATTTGGACTGATAAAATATAAAAATCAGTATGAATAAAGATGAACAGCTCATGTTTTAACCGTTAATTCAGTTTTTTTTTAACCTTTAACTGACCAATAACCCCTACCTCCAGCAGCAGCAACAGCTTCACATACATTGAAACATTTGTCTAGGAGATGATGCAATTGGTATAACACTAACAGAGATATTTGGGGAAAGTAGTTGGAAATCGATCTTAAAAAAAGGAACTGGTTATGGGAAAATTTGAATACTAAAATGATTTTTGACTTGCTTTATACAGGAAACAGGAAGGCAGTTTGGGCCCTTAAGCAGGGAGTATCTGTTGAATACAACATTTTTAGAAGGCAGTGATGTACAAGATAGCTGTCTTTTGCAAATAGTTTTTACTTGGACATGATAAAGTTTGTAAGGTGTATTTTATGCTTTTGTTTAGGGAAGAAAGTATTTTGAAGCAGAAGTTCTTTTAACCAGAGAAACCTCATTTTAAAGGCTAGGGTAAATGTTTCTTGCTTACTAGTTAATGACCTTTCTCTTGTTTCTGAGGAGACTCCAGTTCTTTTTTTTTTTTTTTTTTTTTAATTTTTTAAATTTTGAGTTGGAGTTTCACTCGTATTGCCCAGACTGGAGTGCAGTGGCGCAGTCTTGGCTCACTGCAATCTACGCCTTCCAGGTTCAAGCGATTCTCCTGCCTCAGCCTCCCAAGTAGCTGGGATTACAGGGGCTCGCCACCACGCCTGGCTAATTTTTTGTGTTTTTGCTGGAGACGGAGTTTCACTGTGTTGGCCAGGCTGGTCTCCCACTCCTGGCCTCAGCCTCCCAAAGTGCTAAGTTTACAGGTGTAAGCTACCGTACCCAGCCTCCAATTCATTTTTGTTGTTGTTGGAGATAGAGCCTTGGTCTGTCGCCCAGGCTGGAGAGCAATGGTGCGATCTCGACTCACTGCGACCTCTGCCTCCTGAGTTCAAGCGATTCTCCTTCTTCAGCCTCCCGAGTAGCTGGGACTACAGACATGTGCCACGACACCTGGGCAATTTTTGTATTTTTAGTAGAGATGGGGTTTCACCATGTTGGCCAGGGAACTCCTGATGACCTCATGTAATCCACCCGCCTCAGCCTCCCAAAGTGCTGGGATTACAGGTGTGAGCCACCATGCCGGGCCTCTCATTTTTGGTATAGGCTAAGTGTAGTCATATTCCAGAATAGGTAGGCAGTGCTTCTTTTGCTTTCAAAAGAAAAAGAGATACATATTTCTTCTTAAAAAGCTGAAATAAGTCTGGGCGCAATGGCTCACGCCTGTAATCCCAGCAGTTTGGGAGGCCGAGGTGGGCGGATGACCTGAGTTCAGGAGTTCGAGACCAGCCTCGACATAGAGAAACCCGTCTCTACTAAAAATACAAAATTAGCCGGGCATGGTAGTACATGCCTGTAATCCCAGTTACTCAGGAGACTGAGGCAGGAGAATTGCCTGAACCTGGGAGGTGGATGTTGCAGTGAGCCAAAGACCGTGCCATTGCACTCTAGCCTGGGCAACAAGAGCAAAACTCCGTCTAAAAAAAAAAAAAATTCTATTTTTCTTTCTTAATGTTTTCCCCCCTTTTCTGCAGCTCATGTTTCATATTGGTTTTTTAGTTACAAGGACCCCAGGGATGGATCATCTGGTTTAGTGGCTCGTAAGAGTCTGTTGTATGGCCTAGAGAGCTCAGACTAATACAGTCACAATCTCTGGTCCCCTAAATCTATACTTTAGGATGTTCTTTGAGTCCAAACTAATCAAGTCTGGTGTTTTTCAACTTTACAAGTTTAGGACTTACCGGGGAGCTTTTAAAGAATAGTAGAATATCCTGCTCTGGGCATGGTGGTAGGCACATGTAATCCCACCTACTCCAGAGGCTGAAGTGGGAGGATTGCTGGAGCCCAGGATCAGCCTGGGTAACGTAGCGGGGAAGAGAGAGAGAGAGAGACACAGACACAGACACCCACCTCCATGTACCCACCATGCCCTGCCCCCCTCCTGCACTCTTCCCCCATGAAAAGGTAGACTACCTGGCCCCACCCCCAGAGGTACTGAGTAGATGTTGGACCTAAGCCAGTATAGTTTGATAAGGTTCACCAGGTGATTCTGATACAAAATTTCCATTAAGAGCTTCTTAATCTAGTTATATCTCTCTTTTTTCGACCAGAGAAAGAGTTTGGGATCCCTGATCGCTTGCATCCCAGTCTTCCGGTTATATAGTGTCATAGCCTTATTTTTGTCACCTCTTCTTGCATCCTGCATCCGTGGTGGGATTCGTGTGTAGTATTTTTTTTTCCTTAATAAGATAACTTCTGCCTTTACCCATCCTGGCTCATTATACCTACTGTGAGGAGAACTTGTGGGTTCATTTTTAATTTCTTTTTATGTAAATTGTTTCCTGGAATGACTTCCAAAGGTCTGAATTTGAAATTGTCAAGCAGGAACTTAATCTGAAGTAATATTTATGCTTATGAAAAACAGGTGCCTTTGGGCCAGCTTTTAAGAAAGCTCTTGGTTTCTGATAACTTGTAGGGGACTGTTCCACATTTGTTTCATTGAGTTTTGTTTGTGCAGGTATAGTTGGTGGAGTACATGACTGATAATAGTAGCATTTTCAGCTTAGTAATTCATAAACTGCATTTGTTGTCTAGAAAAACTGCATTGCTGCTGTTAATCTAGTGGAGTCTAGTAATATGATATAAAATGCCATAATCTGGTAAAGAGTTCAGATCTGAAAGATATGAATAAATATGCTAAATGGCTGATGAGCCATGTAGGTCAGATTAGTCAAGTGGCAGAGAGGGGAGCCTGGGTCTGCTTCTTGTTGAAATAACTCTTTGGGAAAACAAAGCTGCTGCTGGTATAGTTTGTTTCTGAACCATAGGGTAAGAAAGAGGGGGGCCTCTAGTACACCAGCAGTCCTTTTGAGACTAACTCCTAAATTAAATTTGAAATTTATACTGCTCACTTATGTTATTTTTCTCCTCTCTATCCTGCAGGGGTTGATAGTTCTTGGGGAGGTACCTCCCCCAGAGCATACAACAGACTTATTTCTTCCACTTAGTTCTGAGGTGAAGACAGATCATGGGACTGATAAATTGGTAAGTATAAAAGATAGAAAGGGTGAAATGCGTAAGAATTAAGGGTGTTGTCTTGGCACACCATTTCTTCTCTGTAACTAGGATCCTTGCATTGGCTGAAGGAGGGGAACTGTATCTACTTTTATCACTTATGGCATTTTAAGATCTGAATTTCTGAATAGGTAACCTAGGGCCCCTCCTGCAGCTGTGTAGCTGACCAGTAGGATTAAAAGCAGCTCCAACTCTCAAGACACTACAGCCAGAGCAAGTAAGGCATTAGGGAGTATCATTGGGAATCAGGAGACCTGGGTGTGGCTCTGACACCTGAGACATAAGGTCACCTTTCTGGGCCACTCTAAAAATTACAGCCTTTTCATTAAAAGGTTAGACTAGAGGTTAAATTCACAAGAACACTGAAAATGGTCTCTATGGGTGACTCACTCTTATTCTGTAATGAGCATTAAGCTGTCATTTTCTGTTTCCTTCTGTATCCTAGCTCTGCTTTGATTCCTTCTCTTTCTTGGTTTCTCTCAATACCATAGTTAATTTTCTTTCTGAATTCCAAGAGCATTTGTTTATTTCTTTCACTTTTTTACTTTGCCTAAAAGGTTACTGGGTTTTATGAATATTCATATTTCTTGATTTAAGTCTCCATAACTTAATTAGAAATTCCAAAGTCCCACAACAGTAGTTTATTATTTTGATTATGCTTCAGATAATAAGGCTAGTATGAAGTGCTGGCTTTTTAAATGGTGAGTTAAGCAAGCTGTTCTTGTATCTGCAAATAAACCAACCTTATAGTTCTTTTATTTATTTTAATGATTGTTAGCAGGAACGCATGATGTGGTGGAAACTAAATTTTCTCTGAGGCAGATATTGGAGATGTTCAGATCTTGGAAAGATCTTTCACCAAGTTTTGAAAGCCGGCCACTGTTTCTAGAGATAAATGTGAAGACACTAGAAGATTGATAGTTCTTAACTGGAAAGTAGTTTTGAATAAATTAAAGAGCAGAACGCCATGTTTTGCCACTATATAAGTCTATAATATAAGTTCATGGCATGCTGTTTACAGAATTTTTTTAAGTTATTAATAAAACTTTTAGCGAATGGTCTATTCAGGGTAAAAATTGTTAAGTGAGAAAGAAAACAGATAAATTGATGGTATGAGTACAAGAAACATGAAACATGAGGCATATGTGATAGGGGAGTAGGTTCTATGTAGATATTTACATATTTGTATATAGAATTTAAGGATTCCAAACTTTTTTGAGTAATTTCCCTATAGTCATGTTTCTCTCACCTCAGCACTTCTGAAGGCATAACAGTCCCTTATTGTGTTACTGATTCTCATTATCTTAAAAAGTCCACAGTGATTGTGAGATAGTTTATACAGATTCACTTGTAACACACACACACTCTTCAGGAGCTTGTTCCTTTCCCTGCCCTTCATTTATTCGCTTGTGTGTTAAATTGTAAGATTCCTGTGTGTGTATTAAATTGTAAGGTTCTTGAAGGTCAAGACCATCTTTCCCTTTGTGTTGGCCATACTAGTGTCTACGTTGTGCAATAGAATGCTTTTTGAATTGAGTAAAATAAATAATGAAAACAACTAAGTATACACTGTCAGTTTTTTGTCAAGGAGAGATTACCCTGTCCCTGTTTTTGTCAATTAACTACCCTTTATGAATATATCCATGCTTTCCGAAAAGCGTTCAGAAAGTGTTAGAGAAGACGGGCTGGGCGGGGCAGGGACAATACATTTCCATTGTTTATTATTAGTAGAATGGGCTGCAGAGCATATGTTTCTTAAAAGCTATTAAGTGACTTAAATTTTTAAAATGCCAAATATTTGCAAAGCCATGCCTATGTCAATTGCCACGCAAAGTTTTTCTGTATAAGAAGGCAGTATTTAACTTTGCTTGTTTGTTCTCCAGATTTTTTTGTTTTGTTTTGTTTTAAATTTTAGGAAAGCGATTTTTCTCAGTTTTGCTTAAAATAAATAAATAAATTAGTTTACCCGGGACAGAGGACCACTGTAAATTTTCATACCCACATGTAACCAGCCTGTGTTCCATTTTATTAAATTTTTCCCCAAATGGAGGTAGGTGTATTTATTCTTTTTTTTTTTTTTTTTTTTTTTTTGGTTAAGACAGGCTCTTGCTCTGTCACCCAGGCTGGAGTGCAGTGGCACACTGTAGCTCACTGCAGCCTCAAACTCCTGGACTGCACTTGTTTATTACCCAGAAATATATTTGAAGACTTGCGGTTTAAAAATAATAATGTCAGAGATATTTTCTATTATGTTTAATTTTTGTATTCTCATTTCTGAAACTAAGCTGAAATTAACAAAAAAAAATCAGTATCTTTAGAATTGTCAAAATATAGTTTCAAAACATTAGACATAATTCCTCCCCTCCCCCCTCCCCCC